ATTTAAAATTATTTGAAAATAGAACATTGTTGGCATTTTATTTGGGATGCTAAAGATATTTTGTTGCTGCACAATAGTTAAACAACCAATTATATTTTAAGAATTTGCATGCTTTGGTCTTTGCTACTATATCCAACACACGATTTTCTTGCATCGACTTAGCTCATCTTATACAGCTGTGTCTAATTTTCGAGTTACCAGATTTGTCTCTTGACATTTGGTCACTTAGAATCTAATACAAACACGATTTGCTTCCCACACATTCTACAGAGATTTCGCATTCTTCTGTCAACATATTTTAGCTTGGTGTCCAGAACGTCTTTATTTCAGCCAAAACATTATTGTTAACTTATTTGTCTTTCTTTAGGCACATTTTGCGACGCAGTATCCAAGTATACATGTTTAAATTATTTAAATCTGAAACTGTTACAATACAATAGCACGATCGTTCCTTTTTTGTGAGTAGAAAAAATAGATATGTCTGCCTTCTAGTAAATTGTTGTTGTTAAATATTAACAACTACTGTGCCAGAATAAAGAAAAAGGAAAATTAAATTGTTTCAATAAACCAGTATTTCAATTCCACAATTAAGATTGAAAATGAGAGCAGATTGAGTTCACTTGATCTTACTGGACATATTTCTCCCAAATGTACTTCCTTTACCGGACTTGTGAGTAAAGTAAAATGTTATAACAATTATTACCTGAAGTGGAGTGAACAGAGCCAGTTAATATTTAATAATTGAATGTTTGTTAACAAGGTATAAGTGACAAAGACAAGCCAGTTTTCTACTTTTTGTACGAAAAGTTTTTAAAAATGTAATTTAATTCTAGTAATATTCTCTTTACTCTCAAAACTCATTATTAAGAGGAAGACGACGAAACAGAATCTGTAACTGGTATGTTTCGCCACTAGGTTGATTTGAACACATATCTTTGATATATTCGTAAAATGTGTTGTGGTCAAGGGTATTTGGGTGAGACGAATATTTTTCTTGGATTTGCTTTAATTTTTTTTTTTCGTGTTTCATCCCACTGTGCTTCGCTGCAGACATTTTGGATGACCGAATGATGTGATGTCAAGCATTCGTTGGCTATAAATCTTAACTTTTTTGTGTTGCAAGGAGCCCAAAAATCCAGCATGCATTCCGAAATGCTACGATGGCAGCAATTATGACGTCTCCAATGCTCTGGTGCCCTGTGGTATGATGTTGATCAAATACACACAGGCCGTACTGCCGTCGTACACACAAAACTCTTGCTTGTTGGACTCGATGATACGAGCCGAACATTGATATGTCTGCAGTTATTTACAGATATTGTTGCCCTGTTTTATTTTTCCAAGAAGAAATGCTTAACATTTTTGTCCTTTCCATTCAAAGCTGTTGGGCAGTATCGGTAACAGTTGACATGTGTACATACATACATACGTACATGTACATATGTCGAATGTCTGAATGCTGTTTAAATTATGAAATTATGAAAATATTGGCATTGACGTTTGTACGAGCATATTTCACATATTTGATGCAAATACATTCTCATGCTTTCGCCTCGCTCCTTGCATCGCTCACTTATTGTTGTAAGGGCAGCACAAAGTGACGACAACAATGCACTGTGAATGCAACACAGCACAACAAAGACGTGGCGTTTAATTGCTCCATTCATGAGATATGCAGATCTTTGCAGACTTTCACTTGCCTGTTGAAGGTGTTGAAGGGGTGGCTGAATTATGGGAATTATGAATGCGTTCCCTTTCCTTTGTTCGTACTTGAGGTAGTCTAAACCTTAATTTATTTAAACGGTAACATCGCGCAAAGTAGGAATTATGCCTGGAAAGCTGCTATAACGAGGGTGACTTGCTGGTGGTAGATGGACCTACCACGGAAGTTTGGCATCAAAGGTGAATTTATCGCTGCTAATGTTACACTCTTTATTATTCTACATACATATTTATGAACTTAACATATGAACACTTCGCTGCAAAGCCCGCTGAAGAATTTGTATCAGAGTTGACCTGTCAGAAACTGTGGGACTGTAATATAGGCCCGGCAATTTAACTATTTAACTTTTTTCAACTATCGCCCAGTTTTTTTTTGGCAGATGTAACACGATAAGAATATTTGCCCAGAGGGAAATATTTGTCATAGATCAAGTGTCGGCATTATGAATGTTGAAATGGCTCTGTTTGGTGTTAACAAGTTTTCATTCAATTAGAATGTAAAAACTATATTGCTTTATTGTTCTTTTCGACTTTTTTTTTTGGCAAAAAAGAGATATTTTGGCATTCAAATGCAGAACCTTTCTAAATATAGGTCCAATATTTGATACAGTCCTCATATAACGTTTTTTTTCTGTATTTCGAAGGTACCAGCCAAACTTTGTAACCAAACTTTCTAGCCTTTTGCCGCATTTCCATAACTGGTTGTTTTTGTTTCAAATGTTTTGACGAAACGTGACTCATAGAAATAACCGTTCACTTTTGGGCCAAATCCGTTTCACGACATTTGGAGTCGAGCTTGGGGTGTTCGTCCATCTGTCCGCCCAACAGGTGCACACAACAACTCTGGAAGGAGTATCCGATTTGTTCCAAACTAGGTATTTCGTAATATTTATAACAAGCGTAGATCGATTTCGGAATGGGATACATCGATCCACTCCTTCTGGAATCTCCCGACAAAGGGTCAACATTTTGAACATTCATATACCTTAAAAAGTGCGAAATATGGTTCAAATGTCTTCAAATATCGCACATTCCAATGTTTCTACCAAGACAATGTTGGAACGGTTAGAAGGGAACACTCCTTCTGGTACCAGACTCACAACAGGTAAAAATTTGAATAACACTGACGCTCATATGTTATGTGCATATATCGGCATACTCCTACTAGTACCTACTCCACAAGGGGTTAACATTTTAAATAATTATAACTCTTATACATGCGAAAAAATCGGAATTTCCTTCAAACATCGTGTATCTCAACATAAATATGCGATAATAAATTTGGGAAAATTTAAATTTTTTTCAAACTTTCCACATCATCAGACTTAAGTGAGATGCGAAATACGGGGTCAACATTTTGCATAATCATAACTCATGCCAAATCATATTAAATTATGCGGAAATAGGCTGAGGGCATACATCTATCGACAAACCGACTGATAGCTTCTAACTTGTTATACCCTCCACCATACTATGGAGGGTATATTAACTTTGTCATTCCGTTTGTAACTCCTCGAAATACTCATGTCAGACCCAACAAAGTATATATATTCTTGATCAGCGTAAAATTCTAAGTCGATTTAGCGATGTCCGTCTGTCTGTCTGTCTGTCTGTCTGTCTGTCTGTCTGTCTGTCTGTCCGTCTGTCTGTCTGTCTGTCTGTTGTAATCACGCTATCTTTCGAATAAATTGAGATAGATGACTAAAATTTTGCACACATGTTTATTTTTCCAGTAGGCAGGTTAAGTTCGTAAATGGGCCATGTAGGTCCACGTTTTCATATAGCTCCCATATAACGGTACTTCCGTATATTCGGTATTTTGATGATTTTAGCGACGTTATTCACCGGAATTGTTTCAAATTTGGTATTTGAAGTTCCAAATGGATACTACACCCTAAGACAGAAAATTGTTTGTGCAGGTCCACGTGTTCGTATAGCCCCCATATAACGGCACCTCGCTATGTTCGGTATTTTGATGATTTTAGCGACATTATTAGCCGGAATTGTTTAAAATTTGGTATTTGAAGTTCGTTATGGGAACTACAGTCTGTGACAGAAAATTGTCGGTGCGGGTCCAGTTTCGAATTTGAATATGGTAATGGCTTATGACAAACAATGCATATGTATGTCCACGTCGTATAGACCCCAATATAACGGCTATATTCGGTATTTTTAAAATTTTAACAGAATTTGTTAAGGATTTTATTTTTTGAAAATTTCCAAATTCGTTGTAAATGGTGGAGGGTATTAAAAGTTCGGCCCGGCCGAACTTACTGCTTTTTAACTTGTTTTATATGTACAGGGTGAGATGAAAAAACTGCAACGAACATTTTTGTGAGAATTTTCCAGAAAAAAGTTATTCGTGATTAAATTCAAGCGTGATAGTGTGATATCTTTATATATTGGCTGGACAACCACAAGTGGTTATCGTTAGAGCACTCCAGCATTTAAATGTGAATAATTCTTTTGTGTACGGAGTATTTTGGAAGCAAGGTTGGCACTACAAAATACCAAAGTGTCGATCACCTCAAGCAAGCGCTTCGCCGGGAATGGGTCAAAATACCGCAGAGCAACATTCATTAGCCGTTTAAAGGCCATAATTCATGCCAAAGGTGACCAATTCGAACAAATCTAAGCTTATTCTAAAGTTTGATGCTTTTTCCGACATTTCTTGTCTCATTCAATAAAATTAAAAAAAAAAATAAAAATTATGGCGTTTGACTTTGTTGCATTTTTTTATCTCACCCTGTATTTAATTTGAGAAAAATCTCTAGTTTCGGCTACAGAACAATCAGTTTAACAAAATGCTCTCCATTTTAATGTTCTGTAGCCGAAACCAGTTGCTTTTTATGAAGATATACATATAATCGTTTAAAAGTTAGTTTTCATATTTGAATATCGTTGTTCTCGTTTACCCGATCCTCGTTCAGAAAAATGTGTGTGTCTTACATTTCGTAAAAGCTTTTGATTCTATGTGAAGCTCGTGCGCATATAAACTATATATCGCAAATGGCTATCTAACCACCATACAGACTTATATAATATTTTCTGACCTAAGGATGCCGACATCAGAAACTTGGACGGAATATTTACATATGAAAACTAACCGGAGAGACATCATATGAACATAATTCGTAGGTCTTTTCAAAGAGCAAGGAAATCGTTTGCCGAGTATCATCCGTTTATCATTTCCATAACTTCAAATCCACAAAATATAATTGTGTTTTTGAAGTTGAATGAGAATGCGTAAATTATTTATTCTGAGCAATGATACTTACCATAGAGCATTTCGGCATTTTTTGGCACAAAGGACTTTTGGTGGAAAACTGAAAGTAAAAAATAAAAAGACTTTTAAAATGTATGAAACATTAAACTACACTAATAAACAGAGGTTAATAGATAGGGTTTCTATACATATTCTATCTTGATTTCAACAGACAGGCTATATAGATGGAAGGTATAAAAACAGCAAGTTATTTGGAGGTATCAAAAGAGCTTTGTGTTTATATTCGTAATATTTTTAATATAGCATTGAAAAATAAAAAAATATATTTTTTTGATTCATTTTGTACCCCACATTTTTGGTGATCAAATGAATTATTGATGCCATGCTATATATCGAAAATATTCACGATCTTTTAAACATTTGTATTTAAGCTACTGGGATTGGCTACTGGGGTAGAGAACCATCTTACAGTTAATTATCCACATAGGCATTTATTTAAGTATAGTTCCCACATTAGGGTACTCCCAGGCCCACTTTTCCAACCAATGTGTGGTCAGAAATTAAAATTTTGTATTCTATTGATATTGTAACCCCCAAGAGAATATTGGTTGGGAACGTAGATTTGGGATGTACGTCTATATGAAATAAACTCCGAAATGTCAAACTGGGACTCATTCAGTCGGAAACATGAAGCATGTGGCAGAAATATGAAAAATATTAATATAAATATTAGAAAGTAGCATTATAAGATCCACATCTTATGATCTGAAATCATTCTGCCTCTAATTATGAGGTGGACAAAACTAAATACCACGCAGCGCGTTATTATTGGAGATGCAAATTCCAAACTCCAGCTAATTTGAATGGAAAATGTTGCTAAGATCTTTACAATACCAAAATTTTGTTGGGTTTTCACCTGGGGCTATTATAGATGTTCAATATCATATAGGTTGTTAACACTCAAATTAAAGGCTATGGCTGAAATATAAGATCGGGTAAACGGAATGATAAATTTAATATACCCTCCTTTCCGAAGCGGAGGGTAGAAATAAGAAATAAAGCAGATTATCAAATCCTGCTGTGGTGTTATTTGTCGGCATATTAAACTTCCGAGACCGAGTCGAAGCTTCTTTAAACCATGGACCTTGACGCACTTAAACACCATTATGTATGTGATATACCCCTATGCTAGGAAGAACATTGGATTCATGTCAAATCATGTTTTTTAAAGACCATCAACCATAATTAACATCGAATCATTTTGAGCAGAACAAACACACCGACATAATTTATGGCTCCTCTAAAATACGACAGCCTGTTATTTAATTGACTTCGCTTGGACAAACGAATACTGCGGCAGTGTGCGCGATGAAATATGATTGTATGTTTATTGAAAGGAGCCCAACAAATCGAAGTTCGGACTTTTGTTATTATTTGATACAGATGTAGTCATGCATTCAGGCATAAACGACGACCAGAAATGAAGACCTGTCATTGTTGCTGCAACTTCAACTGCGCCATCAGTGGTGCAGCCACGGATAATCATAATAATTTACCACGGTAACGTTCATTATGGCAATAAATTCAAATCAAAAAACCCATATAGAAACAGGGAATGAGTGCACAGTCTGCTGTTCTTGTGGGCTGCTCTGAGGTAGACGAAGCTGCTGATGGAAGCCGTAAGGTCGCAGAACCGCTTGCGTTTTGAGTAGTGCTTTCGACATTGCGACGGGTTCGGTGCGTTGAAACGATGCAATGCGAACAGTACCTCACACACATTCCAGGGCACAACGAACAAAAACCATTTGGTAGTGTGGCAGCTAAGTTCGAGTAAAGAGTGGAGGGGGCGCAGATCCAAGAAATTCGTTATTAAATAATCATTCAAAGAGTGCGGCGACTCCAGACCGGTGAACAAGTTGTGATCAACCAGCGATCTTAAGTTATCGAGTGATGGAACAAACAAATCGTAACCAGGTAATGTTTACAAACTATCTACTACCTCGCCAATAGGTTGGAAATATTAGGTCAAATCATAAAAATACGGTGAGTTGTGTTTGTAGACTAAGAATTGAAGCTATTTTTACTCTCTCTGAGTGTGTTTCACATTTCGCTTTCTTACTTGTCAAAGCCCATTCATATACTATCGTTCGCTTCTAAAATTACGATCATAAATTAGCGCGCTCATATAACACGATTTTTCTTACTTTTTCATTTTAATTTTTTTTTTGCAATTTAATGTTTTACTTTATGTTTTTGATATATTTTTAAGTTGAACAGGAGAATGGCCAGCTAAGATTGTTCTGTACAATTAAAACTCAATTTTTCTTTTGTTAAATCATTTTTAATTTTTTGTATTGAAGTACAAAATTGACATATCTGTATTGGGAACGGAAATCTAGTAAAATTTTTGAAGATAGATTGCAACCTTTTAAAGTCATAATTTTAGTTAATCAGACGCTTGCAATCGTGGCACTTGTTCTACTTTGTCAAATTTGTCCAATAAAAAGTTTTTAAAGGGAACGACATTTGCAGCCAATTTGGCTTGTTTTTTCTGATTTTTTCTACAAGTTCTAGTAGATTTTTGGAAACAGAAACAGTTTTGTAGTAAAAAGTTTGAAAAATAAACGAACAACCCTAATGTTTAATTTAGATTGGTAATTATTTGTTTGTAACGTTAACAATGGGTTAACGCATAATTAATTTGTAAATGATTAACCTCGTTTAGATCTGTCAACATAAATGTAAACAGATTTCAACGAGTGGCGAATGGCGCCAAAGCCTCCACCTTCCTTCATGTTTTGATCGTTGGTTGACACTCGTCTCTTCTATCGCTCGATACGAAGTCGCGCTCCCCCGCTATTGTGCAAATCAGGTAATCTGTCTTACCAATTATTATTATTTATTATTATTATTAATAAATACGGCCTTTGCCATAATTCTTAAAACTAAAACCCCCCTATTGTGTTTTTATTCTATTTTGTTTGGTTGAGCTTTGCATCTTTCCCCGCATTGGCGCAAACATTGGTCCATTCGTACCGGATTACGAACGAGCTGTTGGTAAAAGAAGTAATCGTTTTCTTCTTTTTTTTCTAATTGCAAAGCATATCATCATCATCACCATCTATACAGTCCACCACATCATCTCCTTAACATCATCATCGTGTTTCTATCAAAAACAATCAGGTACGTACAGTGAAAAAAGTGCCGGTGAATTTAAATAAATAATTTTCTTGAAGAGAAAAGAAAAAACAAATTGTGTAAAAACAACAACAATCGCGTCGTTGATATTCCTTGTGGCCGTCTTACAACGCGTCGCTTACCCCGTCCCCTCCGTCTAGTTAGCAAATATTGTTTTGCCGACGGCAAATTGAAAATAAAGAAAAATCAAAATAATTGAAGAAAAAGTGTATTTTTTGGTATCTTTGTTGAAAATAAAATATTGTTGTGGGGTATCATTTTAATGTGCATAAAATTCCCCATCGATTGGTATAATTGAAATTTTAAAATTGTTAAATTTTTTGCAAAATTGCATTTTTAAGATTTAAAAAATTATTCACAAATCACCCCCAAAAATACACTTACTTCAATTACGTTGGTTTGTTTGTTGTTGTTGCGCGTTAGCGGTCATCATTTGTGCTTAGTCGGTCAGCCGCTTTACACACACACGCATACATACATACGTTTGGTATTGTCTGTTGTGTTACAGGTGACCCTCGATAAACGCAACTTAACATATTTTACAGGTGAACCTCGATAAACGGAACCAACATAAAATATTAAAATCTTTCAAATTTTATTTTTGATTATTATTGAACGATAATTGGGTGTTAGAGAACGACGTTTTTGGAAAAATTAATAACGCGTACACCCTACGATCGGTCAATACGACTTTTTTAAATAAAAAGTGTTAAAATTGATTTTTTTCGTTTGGAATTTCAAAATTTTAATTACTTTGGAGATTTTAAATAAAATTTTTATTTTTTAAAATTTATTTTTTGAGAATACGCTACATTTGGTAGTTTGATTGCCTAAATAGTAGGTTAACTGTGGAAATAAAATAATAAAATCTCAATATTTTCGGTAGAAAATAATAAAAATTTGAATATTTTGAATTGTTTGTGCGCGAAAATACGTTTTTTTTTTTTTGGAAAATTACACAATTTAACAATTTTTATTATATATTGATATTTCTTTGAATATATATTTGATATTTTTATTATTTATTTGAACATTTTCACATATTTTCATTGTATATTTGCATTTGGTTGCTAAATATCTCATCGGAGATTACAATTTTGGTGATTTTAGACCGGTTTTTTGATATTTCACTATTGTGTGAGAGGTTCAAGGCATTTATTTCTCGGAAAATTTCGATTTCTTTGGCCCTATAGTGCGGTTTTGTTAGATTTTCGGAAGCTTTTCGGTATTTTTCTTGAACTTTGGAAAAACTCGGTTGATTTTTTGAAACTTTTGGAGTTTTTGTATAAACTTTTGTGTTTTCTTCGTATATTGTGCGAAGAAGAATCAGTAATTCGTGGATTTTGTATAAATTATCTGAGCAAATCGTGCTTTAGTCGTTCCCTTCTTGCTTTTTGTAGTACAGATTTCGGGAAATTTATTCACAATGTCATTCACCCCAATTGATATGTTCACTAGAACTTCGGATGCGGTCATCCAGTTTAATGCTCGTTTCAATACGATGCGTGATGACCAGCTCGATATTCATGCGCTACAGTCTCATCTTAGTGCATTAGAAAAACTTTGGACGCAAGCACAGGACAAATTTGAAAAGTGCTGTGACTATATGATGTCGTCAGTAGAGACGACGAAAGAAGTTATCGATGCGGTTGATCAGAAATACAATTCGTCATTTCAAATCTATGTCGATTGCCAGTCCGCAATTAATAGAAAGCTAGGGCAATTCAAAAAATATCGTACTTCCTCTATTAATGGTAGTCTTTGTGGTTCGGTTGCTTCGTTGATAGAAACGCCGGGCGAGACTTCAGCTAAGTCGCCCATACAAAACTCGCAAGCTACGGACAACAATTTGAGTACTTCGACTCATGCTTCCCGCGAAAATCGTTCGCAGATACCAACTCC